CCCTCTTGCCTGCCGCCCAGCCCGCCCCGTGACGCGCCCCGCGGCATGCCGCACTGCACAGCCCGCGGCGCCGCCGCGGGGCACGCATGCGGGGGTGCGCGTGCCCGCCCTCGCCCCACGCCTGCACCCCGCTCACACCCCGCTCACCGCCCTTTTGCCGCGTGCCGTGCCGCCGCCGTCGTGCAGCCCGCCGCGCTGCCGCTGGACGTGCGGGCGCGCCAGATCTTTGATTATTTCAAGAAGTACAATTACGAGGTGAAGGAGCGAGGGGAGGTCATCACATTTGAGGGCACCTATGCAGCCTCCGCAAGTGAGTGGTGGTGGTGGGGTTCTGTGCATGTGGGTGTGGGTGTGAGTGTGGGTCTCTGTGTGGGTGTGTGTGTTGCACCACCTTGGCGGGCGAATGGCACTGCTGCTACTGCTGTGCATGAGAAAGTCTGGTGCTGTTGCTTGGCAGCGTGAGAGCGTGGGTGGGGTGGGCAGGCGGAGGGCGAGGCGGCATGCATTTGGGCGGTGCCTGCCCTGCACCCACCGGCCCGCCGCCCGCCGTGCTGCGCTCGTCCTGGCCTGCAGGCCAGGCGTCCGCGCTGGTGCTGTACACTCTGGTGGGGCTGGCCAGCACGGCGCTGGTGCTGAGCATCACGGTGCCGCAGGTGGGGCCGCTGACCTGGCCTGTGCTGCGCTGTGCTGCGCTGCGCTGGCTGCGCTGACCTCATCTGTGCTTCCCCGCCCTGCGCTGCCGCCACCTTGCCGCTCCACGCCAGCCGCCGGCAGTGCCGGCGTGCTGCAGCCCAAACGTCAGCGTGCTCCAGCCCAAGCAAGCTGACCGCATCACGCGCCCCCGCACGCCCCTACACCGTCGCAGGTTGGGTCATGGTGGTATGCGCTGTGCGCGCTGTCCCCCGCCGCGGGCGCCTACTACTGGTGCGCGCTGCCGCCGCCGCCTTCCAGCGCCGCCGCCGCCTTCCAGCGCCGCCGCCGCTAGCGCCGCCGTGCTGCCGCTGCTGCCGCCGTCGTGGCGGCGCGCGCCAGGTTGGCGTTGGAGCAGGCAATTGGATGCAACGGAAATTGTATTCACCGGGCTTGCTCATGCGCCACGCGTGTGGTGGTTGCTCTTGCTGGCAAACGGACGCGTGAACCCTGGCAAGCCAGCAAGCAAGTGCGTGCCTGCCTGCAGGCGCAACGCGGAGCGCACCGAGGAGTTCAGGGTCAAGATGGTGACCTCGGACGACGAGCAGACCACCGACATTGTGGTGGAGGGTGCGTGGGTGGGTGGGGTGGGGGGGGTGGGGGTGGCCCTCCTGCGCCTGGCGGCACCCCTGCCGCCGCCGCGGGCCCTCACCCCTCCTCACTCCCTCCTCACTACCTCCCTCCCTCCCCGTCCCTCCCCGTGCGCCGGCTGGTGGTGCAGGGGATGACGAGGAGATTGAGCGGTTCTGGAAAGAACTGGGGCTGATGGAGAAGGGCAAGGTGCTGGTGAAGGG